GCCCAGCAATATTGTGTTTTTGGTAATCGCATTTGTCTACAAAATACTGCCATTTTCATTAAACCATATAAAAGTACTAAGTTATAATTATTCACAGGGTTTAAATTTGTCTTTTCACTAATACAGTGACCCCTCGGGGCGGACATCCGGGCATTTTCACCGCCTGGCAACCGGAGACGGTGAAAACAAAGGCCCAAAACTCGCAGAAAATGGTATTTTGGGATGATTGTTGAGACTCCTCTGAACAGTGTAACAAGATTAGCCCTATGTGTGTAACATATATAAATTTGGTTGTTCGGGATTACTTCAAAGTTGAGTTTGTGTTGTTTTCTCGAATTTTCACCGGCTCGACCGGCGTTCCACAGCATGTACAGTGGTGCGCGTTGTAGCAACGTGGAACGTCTTGTGACGTAGCTCCGCCCCCGAGAATACAGTGACCCCTCGCTAAGTTACGCCTTAGTAAGTTGCGGTTAGTTACAAAATTCTGTGATGGCAGTCTGACTTGTGGTGTTGACGAAGGTATGAAGTCGCGACTGATTCCCTGATGCCAACTCAAATAGTGTGATTTGTCTATATAGCAGCAATGTCTTATGCTATTAACATCATTGCAGAGTTGACTTCACCTTTGAAAATTTAAGCAAAAGTAAATTATTTTTTCTGACACTAGAGGGCGCTGTATTTGATTTAGCCTCAGTAAATATGATGAAAGTTGAAGCATTTCCGAGTACTAGGCATGTTTTTTTCTAGAAGTGGAAATAAAAATGATGTCTCATATATTCGTGACCTCTTTTAGCACTCATTGAAAGCACTGAAAACTGGTAGCAAATAGAATTGTATAAAAACGTATTATTAAATTTGAGAAGATCATACAATTTGGGATGTCACCCACTTAAAAAAAGCCACTGCACATTTTTTTTGTATGTACAGAAATGCTTGGCATTATCATTGTTTATTCCTGAGGGTATCCAGTATGGTTTAGGTTTTAAATTCACTGGGTTATGAAGGAAACAATGCACTCTCTGGGTTTTAAATTCAGCTCACTTTGCTGTGAGTGTTATAGGTGCAGCCATAGTCAATGCATGTTATGCATATGTTGAAGGCACTTGTATGTCAGCTTTGAACACAGGCTTATACAATTATTGCTAATGATTTTATGATATTGCACAATGTGTTGCATCTAATTCCTACTTTTTTTTTTAAAAAATCACAGACATTTAATGTCAGTATTTTTGCGCAGGTTTTATGATTGTATTTTCTCAATTGAATATATTTGATGAATTATTAATTTAGAATGTAATTTCTGGTGTTACAGTATGATACATATGTATTAGTGATTGAAAGTATATTGCTGGGTAATATTTAAATATGCAACTGATGGAATAAGACCACTGATTATATTTGATAGTCTAGTTACTCTCAAAAATAGTTTTTCTACATTGAATAAGATTTATTGTTTGGTCTACCACGTTTGAGTTTTCAAAATTTACTATACTTGTATACCAGCGATGTATCATTTTCAAATGCAGAAGTGCAACTATAAGCCACACTCAAAATCCTGTTATCCCTTTTATATACAGTGCTTCGCATATGCACCAAATTAAAATTATTCACAGATTGTAGAGTTACTCAGATAACCTATTGACAATGAATATAACACAATTATAAATATGAAATTAGTATATTTGTAATAAAACAAATATTGACATACATATAATACTAAGATTTCTTAATAAAAAAATACTCATTTTGCTACTGATATGAAATATATATTCATTATAAAAATGTAAAACTTAATATATAATTAAATCAACTCTTAATATATATGTAGAATTCATGCTCTTTCAAAAATATTTGTATTATTTCTATGTTAGCTGTATAGATTTGAGCAATCTTTGCTGCCAGTGTATGTGATTTTGCAAAGGCAGTTAAGGATGTGTATACTATGAGGTTATTACGAGGATGCCTCAAAGTATGCACAAAGACAGTACAGCAGGAGTATCGACCAACACACAGCAGAGGTCGATGCAGTGGCATACTGTCTTTAATAGTGCATACTTTGCAGTATCCTCATAAAAACCTTATTATTATACATCTTTTCCTTCCAATGATACATCATGGGAATGCCTAAATCCAAAAAGTTTAGAACAGAATCAATGAACTTCTTTGTGTGGAGTCCAGTGAAACCCTGGTGGCAGCCGTGTTTGTTTTTATTATCAGAGGACGTTTACACGTGTAATCATTCCATATTTGGAATTCGCATTTTCTAATATGGTAGGATGAAAATAACCCGTAAAATACCACAAAATTACGGCACTTATGGCGTTACGGTGACAGATGTATAATAGTATAATAACTATTTTTATAATAAATTTTATATACCATTACATATGAATGCATTTGTAAAACAGGTTATCGTAGCTAATATTACCTATATTTAAAAAAAAATATATATATATTCTCACAGTGATATTGCTGGTACTTAATTATGATTCTGTAAATGCACGCATTGAACCAAACTCACAAAAACGGCAAGTTATTCCAAAGTGTTTTACATTACTGCAAAAACTGTATTAAAAGTCACATGCATAATAGAAGTCACTTCTATTCTTTTTGAATATTTGAGAACAAAAAAATCATTATTTCATATACTGTGAAAGGGTTAATTATTCACTGGGTTTTAATTTTGCTTATTTCGCTGACTGGAAAATCTGCTTAATTAAAAACCCAGTGAATATGTAAAATTGAGCATAGAACACATTATTAATCCTCGTTCGGACGTAGTCCGAAAACAGGGACTTATGTTTTGCCCTGTGTGCGTCCATGCGTCCGTGTGTCCGTGTTCACCTGTATCTCAAACATGCATGGACCGATTAAGTTCAAACTTCACTCATACATCACACATTATATGGGACATATGCACATGCATTTTTTTCATGATCCAATTAACGATAGCCAAATAGCGGCCATTTTAAGGCCGAAAATGCATCAAAATCGCACATTTTCACAATTCCGGACCCGGATCTCAGTTATGCATGGACGGATTTTGTTCAAATTTGGTACATACATTAAACATCATAGGACCTTGATGCACGTCATTTTTTTTTTCGGATCGGGCTTGAAATAGCCGACTGGCGGCCATTTTGTTTTAAAGAATTCAGTTCTGGATCCGTATCTGAGACATGCCTGGATTGATCAAGTTCAAACTTCACACACACAAGTACATCATGTCACAAATATGTATGTGCATTTGTTTCATGATCTCATTAACGATAGCCAAATGGCGGCCGCTTTAAGGCTGAAAATGTATTGAAATCGCACATTTTCACCATTCCGGACCA